AGGGTGGGATGGGCAGCAGAATACAACAGACAATAGTATGGCAGTATGTAAAAAAGTGGATGTGTAACCAATGTGAATCTGCAATATGTATACAGGGTAAAAATGGGAGTTCATAATCCGTTTGAATCAAATGTATGAAATATGATATGTCAAGAGCTTTCTAATGTTTTGAACAATAAAAAAAAAAAAAGAAACATAAAGGGGAGAAACCAGGTACTGACTGTACACTCCTTTGCTTAATAAAAAGTTCTGTACTCACAGTCTTTTAGGGAAAAGTTAAACTTGTATCAAGTTCTGAACACATAATTTCTATTCATTTCACCTTATAGGAAGCCCTATTTTTCTACATGTTTTTTAATAAAATTATCACGTTTTCTGGCAGAGTACTATTAAGAAAACCATTAATATACTTAAAAATTAAAACTTAAGCATTGTTTGAATTATTAATATAATTTAATATCTGATTTGCTAATTTGAAATTTTTTTCTTCAAAGTATTGTTGCTAATTTTTCTTGACCTAATTATTTTAAATAAAATAAACACAGAAAAAGAAATAAAAAAAAAAACCAGAAAAACAAAACTAAAATAAACCCAAGAAAAACATTTCTGGCAAACATATGAAGGTTTTTTCCTTTAATTTGATCCATACCTTTAACTGAGTTGGAAATGATCTACATTCTTTCTGTGATGCAACAGTAGTGCATGGTGGTGAGGTAGATTTGATTTGATTTTGGCTCTGAGGTCTGAAGTCCAATGTTTCAGAAACTGTATCCTTTGAATTAAGTGATGTCCGTTGTTTCTGCTTTGGTGATTGATTTACTATAGTATTATGAAGAACTTGGAGCTGCAATGAAGATCCAGAAGGCTCTAAATTCAAATCCTGTTTATTCTTGTTAACAGTGCTTGGGTTACCCACAACACTAGATTCTCTTTTATCATTTACATTGTTTTCCTCTTCACTTGAATCATCTGGTAAAATGATTCTGGATAATTTCTTTTCTGAGCGTGCACAATTTTGTTTCATCTTCATTTGCTTTAGCATTACTGCACGTCTGGTTTTATATTTTTTAGTCCCATTTGCAAAACAATCATCAGTTATTAAGTTAAAATCAACACAAACTTCTTCTCCACTTGACTGGCTTTTAGAAGACTCTTCTTCATCAACACAAAAACTGTCCTCTAAATAGGTTTCATCTTGCTCAGGAATCTACAAGAAAAACACAAATAAAAATAAAATTTATTTCATATAATCAGTATGTATTTACATATTCTTTTAAACATGAATGTTCATTTCACATATTAACTCAGTAATTTATTCAACTAACACATACTCGTACATTCTTTATGAAGGAAAATAAGAACTTGGGGTATAAAGAACTGATGTACTCTCTAGAAATTTATAGTCTAGGGAGGGTGGCCAGAAAAGTAACCAATAATAAAAATGTAATGAGTGCTATACCATAAACGTGTGCATAGAGATAAATGTATGTATACTTACATGGTAAGTATAGAGATATGATTAATCATATTTTCATACCAAATATGACAATTTATGAATACAGAAATGTTATCCATAAGTCAAAGATGACCTATAGATTTCAGAATATATTTTATGAAAAAAATTGAAATTTTAAGAGAAACATGATATATGAGAATCAAAATTTTAAATAGCATATGATACAGTTCTACTCACTTCCCTTAAACATTCTCCTAATTAGAAAAAAATTTCATAGTATATTCTTTGGGTTTTTCTTTGTACCAAGGATTGAATTCAGGGGCACTTGACCACTGAGCCACATCCTCAGCCCTATTTTGTATTTTATTTAGAGACAGGACCTTGCTAAGTTGCTGAGGCTGACTTCGAACTTATGATCCTCCTGCGTCAGCCTCCTGAGACGGTAGCCTGCATCAGCCTCCTGAGCCGCTGGGATTATAGTGTGCACCACCACAATCAGCTTGTTGGGATTTTTTTGTTTGTTTGTTTTGTTTTATTTTATTTAATGGTGCAGGAGATTGAACCCAGGGCCTTGTGCATGCAAGGCAAGCATTCTACCAACTGAGCTATATCCCCAGGTCCCTTCAAAGTATATTCTAATTGGATCAAATTAAAGAATAATTTGATCCAATTGGGCCTAAAAGGGACCTCGAGAACTAATTTAGTCCACCTTCCTGTCTCTAAGCAGAGATCTTGAATAGCCTTAATAGCCCAGCTTTAGGAACAAAATTAAGGGATCATTAACAGGAATTTATTTCAACATCAGCATCAAGAAATTCTCCATTATTATTTCTATAGTTCATACCTGTGAGAAAATGTTTACATTACTATGTTTCTTATGGATCATTTTGTACTTATTGCTCATCAACGGACTACGCAAAGATTTCACATAAATAGCTCTCATTTCAGAATCTGTAAAAGGTAAGAATTTAAAATAAAATAGAATTATTTTAAATAAAAACTGGTATTTAACTTTGACTTCAAATTTAATGATTCAAACAATGTAAAAACATTTTATTCAAATGATAGTAATACATAACAAAATATGTTGAAAAACAGTTATTCAAAAATGCAAATTCAAGACTTTTGCTTCTGAAATCAGACATCTGGTTGGGTAAACATGATTTAGACAGTGCTTTTCTATTCAAAACAAATGGATACAAAGACTTTAGGACTGTATCTGATTTATAAAATTATTCTAAAAAACACAAGAAATTCAGGTAGAAAAGAAAACTTGGATTTAGAAACATTAAAAGCTACAGCCAATTTTCATGATCTACAGTTAAGTAAAAATTAGAAAATACAAGTTTTTTTGCTCATCAGTTTTAAAAGTTATAGCAATAGATACCTTTTTTTTAAAGTTTTGAAATCACATATATTTAAAATGTACTGGGCTGGGGATATAGCTTAAGCGGTAATGCGCTCACCTGGCATGCGCAGGGCACTGGGTTCAATCCTCAGCACCACATAAAAATAAAATTAAGATGTTGTGTCCACCGAAAACTGAAAAATAAACATTAAAAAATTCTCTCTCTCTCTCTCTTATCTTTAAAAAAATAAATAAAATAAAATGTACTATGTCTAAAATGGAGATTCTCCCCATTCTCCATTCAAATTTCTCCATCTGCACTCTTCTCAATATCAAATAACAACTATACCCATGCTGTTGCTCTAGCCCACTGACTCTTCTCTTTCTAACCCATCAGAAAATCCTGTCAGCTTTACCTATCCAAAATCTAATCTTTCTCAACTTCCTTAATACTATCTTTGCAGAAGTCACTATTATTCTTCAGTTGGGCTTGGTTTACTACAACAGCATCCTAGATGGTCCCCTACTTTTACTGCCCTGTAGGCCATTCTCAATATAGAAACTAGAGAGATTTTAACTCAAATATGTCAGATGATGATCTCACTGCTACTTCTTGCCTTCCACCTAATACCAGTCACAATGCTAGGCATACACATGCCTCAGGAAATTGGCTTCTTATCTTTGAATCAACACTCTACCACGAAGATTATGGTGTAAGCCTACAAAACCCACATTGGTTAAGATTAATGAGTATGAAAGGCATAAAATCTTATTTTGTAAATCATATTAGTATTAAGGATAATCAGAACTTTATACTTCTTTCTCTTTAAACTTGGGAAACTTTGCTGTTGTAAACCATTACCAAAGACTGCATGAGCAGAATAAAGGACAACATCTGTGAAAGACCAGAATACTGAAGAGCGTATCAGAGTATTTCTCATTTCTGTTATAGCCAGTTTTAATCGTTAACTCAAAATGTCTGATATACAAAATATGCTCAAGGCACTGCTTGAAGACATGTTTTCTGAAACCAAATCTCCCTTACTTGGCAAATTCAGTGAAGTTTAGCTTTTTTTTCTCAGATGGTTTTATTAATCCACATTGCTAAATCCTTTTTTTTTTGGTGGTGCTGGGGATTGAACCCATGGATTTGTGCATACTAGGCAAGCCCTCTACCAAATGAGCTATATTCTCCAAACCCAATCCTTCTTCTTCTAGTCACTAACCAAATGTCATCTTCTCAATAAGGCCTACTCCTCATCACTTTATTTTAAATGGCAACTTGTCCGTTATTAACACCTTCAACCCCAGCCAGTCCAATTTCCTATATTTTTATTTTTATATAAATATTTCATCTTATAATACACTGAGTAATTTAGTTGTTATGTATATTCTATCTCCTTCCATTCAAATATGTTTAATACAGAAAACGTTTTGTCCCCTTGTTCACTGCCATCTTTCCCAAGTGCCTCATATTACCAAACATTAAATATTAGCTAAATGAACCTTTGACACACAGGCCATCGAGATCAATCCGGAGAGAATTATTCTAAACAGGCAGAAGCCTATAAACAAACAAGTCTAAAATAAAGCAAGTACTAACAGAATTTAAATTAAAATGACCAATACTACGCACATACCAAATTTAATTCCCTTTGTCTAGTTTCTTTGAAAATGAATTAAAATATTTAAATGATATTAGGAATATTGAAAGATTTTTTTTTTTGGTACTGGGAATTGCACTCAGGGGCACTCAACCACTAAGCCACATACCCAGCCCTATTTTGTATTTAATTTAGTGTCTCACTGAGTTGCTTAGTGCCTCACTGTTGCTGAGGTTGGCTTTGAACTCTCCATCCTCCTGTCTTGGCCTCCCAAGCCGCTGGGATTACAGGTATGCACCACGCTACACCTGGCTGAAAGACCATTTTTTAAAAAGCATCATTATAACACTTACCATTTATAGCCTGTGAAAGTTGAGTTTCATCATTTAAGAAGCCTAGTAATGAGGAATCTTGTTCATTTTCTGACTCATCATTTTCATCTGATGAAACACATTCTGCATCTTCTTCAGAAAGTTCTGCTTCATCATCGAAAAACTTCCTAGCTATATTCTAAAATAAATTAGAAAACACCCTTCAGAAAATAGTTTCTTTTCATGGTTTAATTTCTGAAAAATAGATTTTTAATTTGGAGAGGTTTGCTGGGGATCAAACCCAGGGCCTTGTACTAAATTTAAAGTAATGCAACACTGGAAGACAAAGTATCAACACAAAGGAGAAAAAATATATCACATTTGGAGATTTTAATTCCAAAGAAAAAAACAAGATTGGTAGCAAAACACTTTTTAAAAAATTGTGTGATTTTTCTGTGGGGCATGGTGGTATGTGCCTGTAATCCCACCCAGTGACTCAGAAAGCTGAGGCACCAGCAAGTGCAACTTAATTAGATATTGTCAAAATGTGAAACAATGAAAAATAAAAAGGACTGGGGGGTGTAGCTCAGTGGTCGAATTCCCCTGGTTTAATCCCTAGTACAAAAAAAAAAAAAAAGAAAAAGAAAAAGAAACTGTGGCATCTTTCTATAAAAAAAAATGTATAAATAATTTACTTACTTTTATATAGAAGCCAATGATCCTTACTAATAAAATATGCATATGTAAAATAAAAAAAAGATTACCTTTAGATGACTCTGTGTCTTTTGGACTTTGGTGCCTCTTCTGGCATTCCTGTTACAGTCCTTGAAATCTTCTAATTGTGAATGTGGTCTGTGAAAATTCTCACCCTCATCACTAGATGATAATTCTGACTATAAAAATGCAACAAAATTTTGACATAAGCAAAAATATTTGAATTGTTTTATCTTGCATTTTTCAAGGACTGTTGCTTTCATTTTCATATTTTTCTTTTTAAGTAGTTGGCCCAATATTCTCTTAGGAAAATAAAATTGATCTCACAACTCAGATTATTGTTATAAACACATAATACTGAAGAATTTTAAAACCAATAAGTTAAATTATACTACATGCTAATTACCAAATCAGGTTATGTAAATAATACTAGCATATACATTTATTCAATTTAGTATCACATCAAATTATTTAATAAACTCTTATTTTCAGTTTAATTTCCTTTAAATATCCTTGAGAGTTTCCCCAAAACTAATCAAATCTGTTAGAAAATACAGGAATCCTTTGAAACCAAGAAATCAATATAACAATAACAAAGTTTGACTCCAAGACCTACTACTACATCTCTTATAATATAAAGCCCATCAAAAGAATCAATAGTTTATCAAAATAATTTCAATTCACAGAAATAAGTTTTAACTTAAAACAGATTGATCATTAGCATTCAGTACTTAGCTTTTTTTTTTTTTGGTACTAGGGATTGAACCCATGGATGTTCACCCAGAGCCACATCCCCAGCCTTTTTCTGTATTTTATTTAGAAACAGGGTCTCACTGAGTTATTTAGGGCCTCACTAAATTGCTGAGGCTGGTTTTGAACTCGGGATCCTCCTACTTCAGCCTCCCATGCCACTGGAAGTATAGGCACGTGCTATCATGCCTAACAGAATATATTCTTGATAATATCCCCAGCATCTTAACATAGTACTATGCTTAGAAAAGTCTACAATAAATACAGCTCTGAAAACTAAAAGGTAGAAATTCTTCTTCTTCCTCTTCTTCTTTTTTTTTTTTTTTGGTATAGGGGATTGAACTCAGGGGCACTCAACCACTGAGCCACATCCCCAGCCCTATTTTGAATTTTATTTAGAGATAGGGTCTCACTGAGTTGCTTAGCACCCCGCTTTTGCTGAGGCTGGCTTTGAACTCGTGATCCGGGATTCAGGCATGTACCACCGCACCCAACAAAGGTAGAAATTCTAATCACATCAGATATAGTATCAATTTTCCTGTAACCCATATACCTATAGATAAAATATAACTATATTTACCTATACATACATTTAAGATTTATTCTAAAAGAATCTAAATTATTATACATTATCTATTTACTTACTCTAAGAAACCTGCGCTTTTTGGCAGCATGAATTGGAGAATCAACTTCACTATTTTTCTGATCCTAGGTAAAGTAAGCAAATGGATAAACAGACTGAGAAAGGTTATACAAAATCCTCAAAGAAAGAAAATATTCTTTAATGATTACATTATTGTAATTACTGAATGACTCACTTCAGGTGATTCTAAAACATTTCCTTTTCGTTTTTTACTTCTTAGGAAAATTTCATCGTCTTCACTTTCATTGCTTACTAGTAATGGTTCATCTGTAATTTATTAAAAAAAAAACAGTCAGAGATTTGAGTTTACCCAATCATAACTACCTACCTTACAAATGGTTACAATAATGAATATTTCTGGCAATCTCAACATTTATTTACTTTTTAAAAAAGTTTTTCAAAAGTTTGGCTAAAAAAAATCAGCCTGGAAAGAGAGAGAAAAATAAACAGTGCCACTGGGGAAAATAGGGACAATAACTTTGATAATAAATCCTGAATGAGATTCAGCTTTATACATTGCATGAAATGAGAACAAGAGAAAGCAAGATGTAATTTTAGTCTAGAATTCATCTCCAAACCTATTATGGTCTTTCTGCCCCTTGCACTTATTATCCTCTTTCTTGAATGAATGAAATCATTAAAATACAGTCTACAAAATTATGTATTAAAAGATTCTTTTTTATTTCTCTGTATACATATGTGTACATGAACATGTAAAGTTTAAGCATAAGATTTAAAAAATGCAGGCTGGGGTTGTGGCTCAGTAGTAGAGCTCTTGTCTAGCATGTGTGAGGCACTGGGTTTGATTCTTAGCACCACATATAAATAAATGAATAAAATAAAGGTCCCTCAACATCTTAATTAAAAAAAAAAAGGTAAGATATTCATCTTGGAAGCAGATTCTCGATGCAAAAATCCTGACTATTAACAATTTAATGAGAAATCCTATGCCAGAAAGTCACCTCTTGAATTCCTGACCTATGAAAACTGAGATAAATGTTATTCTAACATTTACCCCACAGAATTTTGTGGTACTCTGTAACACAGCAATAGATAATACAAATCCACACAATAAGCTTCTCCTCACATTCTGTGCTAGGGAACATCTACCCAGACAGATAAACCTGAATGATTCCTTTTTGCAAAGAAGCACTAAAAAAGAAAAACAAACAAAAAAACTTCTATGAACGAACCACATATTTGTGACCAAAATACAGAAAATGATTTAATAAACTAATGATGAAATTACTGGGGGAAGGGCACTACATAATCTAACTGTTTTTTTTTTCCTTTTTTCATTACCTTGTAAGGAAGCCAGAGTTAAATGAAGGGCTAGGCTACAGTAAAGAACTAATTATAGAAGGATTCCTTTTTAACTGCCTTAGTATTGTTTAAACGAGCTATTTTTTAATATATATATAATATGGTAAGTGATCTTAAATCCTTCAATAGATGAAATGAAAAGTATATATTAGGAAATAAAGTATATTAGGAAATAAAGACATAGTCTCTAATAAATAATATATATATATATACACACACACGCAAGATTATATTGCTCATCATTGTAGTTAAGTGCAATGCTAAAAAATATTTTAGCATAAATCTAACACAGAAACAGTAAAATAACCTCACCCATTAACAAAGACTTAATAAAGTCCCATTAAAGCAAATATCGAAAGCTCAGAGGCAAGATACGCTTAGTGAAAAATACATATGTCAGGACACACCTCAAACTATGCAGAACAGTCATGTTTCGAAAATTAAACCTATTTCCAGAACTCACCTTAAAAATGCTTTCCTCCTACATAGAATATTCATGAATGATGCCTTCAATACTAATGAGAATAACATAAGGAAAATATTTTACAGAGGAAACTCTCATTTTATCCTGCAACTATTCTTTTTCTTTAGTTATAAGGAATAAAATTCATAAATGGCAAAATAATTTGTAAATAAATTACAGTTGTGATCTATAGAATTTAAAAAATACTCAAGTCATTTTAATACCAAATATTTAGCATTATATTCTCTAGTTTTTCTGTAGCTATTAACTCAGATCACAGAAATTTTCTGGATATTCTGTGGTCTACTCTCAATCCTCTAAATATGGTCTTATGTCTCAAATATTTTTGGATAAATCCTTTTACTTCAAACTATCCCACAAAATTCTTTACCTTCCTTCTTTTCCTTTGTTTCATCATCTTATTGCACATAAATTCTTTATTATTTTCAATATATCTAAATTTTAAAAATTCTGAGGAGATAAAATGACAATCAACATATATATGAAGGCTTTCCAATATAACTCAAAAGTTTGTCATCTCCTGAACCTCCTAAACAGCCACTATCTTATTATGGTAATTTTCACATTTTACTGACATCATCAAACGTATGCTATATAAATGTGTTTTACAACCAAAACTTTATATTTATTTGTATATTTTACAGTATCTAGCACAATACTTTTCCCATGGCATGCATATAAAAATCTTATATTAGTAAGCATCATCTTAAGAAAAATATAATTTGACAAATATACATGTATACACACACACACACACACACACACACCCTTTATACTGAAAAGTTACATGTGGAAAAATTACAGGCATATTTCTAGACTATTCTAGAGTCATGGGTTTTTATAAAGATGGAATCTTTTTTTATTTTTCAGTTGTAGATGAACACAATACCTTTATTTATTTTTATGTGGTACTGAGGATTGAACTCAGTGTCTCATACGTGCTACACAAGTTCTCTACCACTGAGCCACAATTGCAGTCCCTAAATATAAAATCTTACCTTCAGCAGAATAATCACAGAATTGATGCAGAGAAATTTGATCACTGCTTTTAGCCTTTTCTGGAGAAAATTCTGAACCATCAAAAACTGAATCCAATGTTTCTTTGAAACGTTGTAGATTTACTTCTTCCTTATTAGAATCTGGCATCTTAAGCATATCTTCTCTTATCTTAGAAAGTGAGCTCAATGTGTTTTTAGAAAGTGGTGTACTCATAATTTTTTCTCGTACTGGCAAAGAAAACTCAGAAAATCCAGGAGATACAAATTCTTTACCCTTTGCTGCAGTCAGTGGAAAATGTACAAAATTTGGACTGTGTATATCTTCACTTGATGGGATAGGTATGGCTCCACTGGTAAATTTTCCAACATGATCTCTTGGTTGATTTGAGACATAATGTGTATCCTTTGCCTCCTTAATACATACATTTCTTCCAGACATATCATCTTGAAGTCTACTGTTATTTGTATCTGATGGCTGTTCTGATATTTCATCATCAGAATCTGAACTACAAAATCCTAAATCAAAGGTAATAGAAAATAAATCCCCAGAGCAATGAAAAGCATATTGATCACTCTTCCGTTTTTCCTCATGGATATCTTTCAAATCTTCATGAGATTTCCAGCTATTAGTACCACTAATAATTTGATCTTGGGATTGAGAATTATCACATAAATGTTCATCAGAAATTAAAAACTGCGAGATAGGAGCCATTTCACTTATAACAGGTTTTTTTGACACACATAAAGATTTGCAATCACTCTTCAAAGGAGAAAGGCTCACGTCATTAAACTCTTCATTACCTTCTTCAAATAGTGATAAACTCTCATCCTGATTAGTTAACAACACTGGAAGGTCATTTTTAACAATATCAAAGTTATTTCTGTCAACTAAGTTCTTCACAGGATCTATGTATATTTGAACATGGTTGTTAGTCACTATATTTTCATTTTTAATATTTTTATGTACTTTATCATCAAAGCCACTGAAGCATGACTCATTAGAAATCTTATCATTAGATGCATCAAAGAGACAATTTTTTTCTGAAGAATGATTGATAAGTTTAAGTAAATCCAATCCTAATTTTTGTTGAGAATTCATAGCTGAACATGACATCAAAGAGGTGGACTTACGATTTAGTATGTGCTCTGCATAGGGTAGGGAGAGCAAATTCTCAAATGTAAAACCCTCAGCAGTTTCACACTCCAAGTCTGAGAATCCACTGAGAGGTGGAGGAGAATGAGATAAAAATCTCTCTACATTAGCAAGTACCTCTTTTGTCAATGAGTGACAATTATAAAATTGATCATCTGTTCTATCTATATAAAGCTCTTCTTCAAATGGAAGAAATAAATTAGATGAAAGAGATTTCTCATCACTAAAACTATTATAACCAGAATCTAAAAAACTTCCAGCAAAAGAACTAGATTTATTTGTAAACTGACCCTCTGTTACTAAGACACCTGGCTCATTAACACCATTTTCATTAATAGTACATGTGGCAGAAATTCCATCTGTCTTTTTACCATTTATTAAGTCTACCTGAAAAATAGTTTCAACAGTATCTAAAGAATTAATATCATCACAATTTTCTTTATTAGGCCAGTCTTTCTTCGTTTCTTTAGAAGTTTTTTTATTTGCAGAAACAATTTTAGTAGGTTTGATGTGAGTTTTTTTAAAAATTTCAGCATATTTCTTATCAGATTCTGTCATTAAAAGTGAACTGCCTTGATTTATATTCTTTATAAATGAAGATTTCTTGTGAGTAGTTAAGGTATCATTGGCAAGATTATTACAGTCATTCCTGGGAATGCTAAATGCCAAGCTAACATCTTCCATTTGTAAATAAGATTTCATTTCCAATTCATAGCTGCATTCATCCTGTAAATAAGGAACATAAGAAAGTCACAGGAAAACAAAATTATAATTCTAAGAAATGTTTCACTCTATATTAAATACATTGTAAACAATATTTCATTATTTAAATGATTATCTTAAGTCTTAAAAATTACTCTTATAAATCAAAACAGTAACGACATGACTGAAATAATCAAATTATCTTTAATCATTTTATTCTTTTATTCCTCACATTTAATAAACAAAAGACCCATGATAGCTAGTTATACAAATAACAAATTTAATGAATATATAAAAATATTGACTTTTTCCACTTCTAACATTTAATTTAATAATTTTCTAACTTCCTAAAAGTTAAGAAATTAATATACATTAATGAAAATCACATACATATGTTAAATTTATTCTCTCAACAATAGTAAATTAAGGACAGCGTTTAGAAACTCTTAAAACAATGGTACATGTATGTCTATCAAGCTATAGCTTTGAATATATTTCTATTTTTAACAAAGTCCCCAAACAAGAACTTGTAAAGTGAATTTAGGAAGGAGCTTTACTTCTCTCTCAGCCATTAAGCTAAAATTACAATTTTCACCATCCCTCTTCTTTTCCCAAAATGCTACTTACTCAGGATTCCTCCCCTACTCACAGATTTGAGCAGTTAACGCCCCACTTTTTTGAATAATAAATACAATAAATACTAAAATAAGCAGTCTGTTTCCCTGCCAATAGATATGCTCCACACAGACAGAATGTTTTATTTAGTTTATTCACTGATGTGGCCACAAGGCCTGGAACAGAATTTGGCATATAGCTGGAACTCTGTAAACACATGTTAATTTGATGACATTGTTTTTCTGGAATAAACAACTAATTACTTTATTTACAAATATTCTCAAACAATAACTATTACAAAAATAGCAGTCACAATTTATTGAGTGCCTATTATATGCCAATTACTATTTTAAGTATCTTACATGTACTGTCATTTAATCTTCACAATAACCCTATGAAGTATCCATTATCATTATTCCTATTACATACATGAAACTGAGGCAGATAAAATGATAATACTTATTACTCAATAAATATAATACTTTTTCTTATCCTTATAACTTCAAATTAAGAAAAATAAAGGGTACTTTATTTTATCCCAGCAACAAAAGAAAGTTATATAAAACACTACCTCTTCATGTCTCATTCCTTCTATCATTTGCATAATGCTTACAAAATGGTGGCATCGATCTGAATGGTCAACTTGATGTGTAGGAAAAGGATGATCCTGCCACACTCTCCATTCAGAGAGAGAGAGCTGATGAATCCCAAGAGTTGGTAGAGTCTTGATTAATGATTCAAATAATAATAAAAATGATAAAAACAGACACACAGTGAGATTTCAAATTAATTTAAAAAAACACTTAATATGCAAAAAAGCCTAACATAAATAATTTGAATTCATTTAGTTTTGTCGACTAAAATCTCAAGGAAAATGATTTAATATAAATTTGCTCCTTTAAGCATATTTTTAAATAATTGTTATATGAGTTACAATTTGACCATATTCCTATTTATATAGTTTCATGTTAAAAGCAAATATTTAAGCAAATATTTTTGGCTTCAAAATTACTATTTTGCTTGGTCTATATTATAATCTAACAAGGAAACATACATAATCTTTTGATGATACTGATCCCAACTTTTCATGCCTGCTTCCATTCCTTACTCTTCCTTTTAATGAATAAAATAAATTCTAACAGCTGTATCTTAGAGGCTTTATAAATCTTCTGAAAGAAATCATTTCTGAGGTTGTTTTTCCAGCTATAGCAATTACATATATGCAAACTTTGATCAGTTCTTTTGACTTTCATTAAGCTTATCAATGTGTTCATAATACATGAAAAAAACAAGTAACACCCAATTTAAAGTTTTAACTATACTTTAAAAACAAAAATCAAAATAGATTGTAAAAGTAAAAATGCACATGACAACAAAATTTATGTTAAATATTAAAAAAATCCCCAAACACAAAAGGAAACAATAGCAGAGCAAACTACAGGTATTACAGAGTGTAATGACAAATATGTGCCCATTTTGAAACAATTATATGGTGGGATAAAAAATGGAAGAAAAAGCAGAACTTATGCAAAAATATCAGTTACATTTACATATAATAAATAGGAAAATTAGTAATTTTTAAAAGACAGTCTAGGTTTTCTTTTTAAACTGATTTACTTTTTTTTTTTTAAAGAGAGAGTGAGAGAGGAGAGAGAGTGAGAGAGAGAGAGAATTTTTAATATTTATTTTTTAGTTCTCGGCGGACACAACATCTTTGTTGGTATGTGGTGCTGAGGCTCGATCCCGGGCCGCACGCATGCCAGGCGAGCACGCTACCGCTTGAGCCACATCCCCAGCCCCTGATTTACTTTTTAAAGTAAGTTGATAACTCCAATCACATCACTCATTACTCACAAATCTACTGCATAATCATTATAAGGAATATCTGAAACCATGATCAACTTACTGATGTGTTTTCTCCATCCTGTAAAGATACAAACTGTACTGCAGGTAGTGTTATTTCCTTAATTTCATCGCTGTCTCTTAATCTATAGACCCTGTTCCATAACTTAAATTCTTCCTCCGATAAAAACCAGTTATTTGAAGTATTTTGCCTTATTCCTGTAAGTGAAAAAATTATTGAAAAACAGTTTTTAAAAATCTGAAAGGCAAACACAAAATATATAAATATCAACTTAAACTGTCTTGTCTACTCACATCCTCTAAGTAATTCAATTCCTTTTTTTTTTTAATTTATTTTTCAGTTTCCAGCAGACACAACATCTTTGTTTGTATGTGGTGCTGAGAATCGAACCCAGGTCACACGCATGCCAGGCCAGCGCGCTACCACTTGAGCCACATCCCCAGCCCTCAATTTCTTAAAACTATAATTTTTTATAGGAATGCAATCTATTTATCACTTTCTGCTTCTACATATCTTCTAAATTTCTCTCATCTCTTTTAAAGTACTCCTCTGTCTAGGAACTAACCTTTAGCAATGACTTCATTATTTTCCTTTAGAGATTACAGAAGCCAAAAACAATTAATTTTCTATGCAGCAATTCCTTATTTATTTTAGTCCTAGGGATTGACCCAGGGGCACTCTACCCCGAGCTATATGCCTAGCCCTTTTATTTTTTTATTTTGAAACAGGGTTTTATTAAGTTGCCCAAACCAGCCTCAAACTTGTGATCCTCCTGCCTCAGCCTCCCAAATCACAGGGAACCAGGAATGTACCCAGCTGAATTCTGTTTTTATGCTCAAGACCTATTGCATCTTGGTAAATTGCTGAGACTGACCTGGAACTGCTTCAGTTTACTGAGTTTCTGGGATTACAGGCCTTGCTACCTGCCCAACCTATTATGCAGCTTTTTAAAAGCTTTTTAATTTATTTTTTGTAATGTCAGTTTTTCATTTTTGTTGTTGTTTTCTGGTATGGGGATTGAATACTTTACTGCTAAACCACATCCCATGCCCTTTTATTTCTTGTTTTGAGACAGGGTCTCCCTAAATTGTTGAGGGTGATCTAACTTGCAATTCTCCTGCCACAGCCTCCAAGTTGCTGAAATTACAAGTGTGCACCACACCCAACTTATCATGTCATTTTTTTACTTTTTATTGGTTCTTTTTAGTTATACATATCATTAGAATTCATTTTGACATAATTATAAAAGCATGAAATTTGCTAATTCAGTACCCAGTACTTCCCCTTTCCCTCCCTCCCTTCCCCTCTCCATATTCCCTTCCTTCTACCCTCCTGATCTTTCTATTATAGGTTTTTTTTAAAATTTTAGTTAGTGTTATTATGTCATTTTTGGAAGTACCAGGCCTATTCCCCCTGCACTTTACTTCTCTTTTCCCACTGCCTATTTAAAAGTTTAAGCCTACAACCTTTTTAGTTTTAGCTTTTATCCCCACCGCAAATTTCAAACTTTCCAAAATTGCTACAATACAATCACACTAGTTTTCACTTGTAAGTTTTCATACTATATTTCATCCAGACTTTAGATAACAAAAAAGTCCAAAAGAAGCTATGCATGAGAATGCATCTGTAGATTCAAACAACCTCAGACTGAAAATATTCGGGGTGAGGGGGATTATACCTGTACAAACATGCAGACTTTATTTTCTTGCTATTATTCTCTAAACAATATAATATGACAACTATTACCATAACATTTATATTGTATTAAGTACTATAAGCAAAGTAGAAATGATTTAAGGTATACGAAAGGGGTCTGAGGTTGTGGCTCAGTGGTAGAGTGCTTGCCTAGCACGTGTGAAACACTAGGTTCTATCCTCAGCACCACATAAAAATAAATAAAGAAATAAATAAAATAGAGGTGTTGTGTCCATCTACAACTAAAAATGTTTTGTTTTTTTTTTTTAAAAAGTATATGAAAGGATGTCCCTAAGATATACACATATGTTATGTCATTGTATTTAAGGAACTTGAACATACCTAGTGGGGTCCTGAGACCAATCCCCAACAAACACAAAGAGATGATTATACATTTTTGTTATCTATCTTATCATGCAATAGTTGTCCAAAATTTATTCTTCCTAACTGCAACTTTTTACCCATTGACCAACCTCTTCCCATCCACATCCCTCCTCAAGCTTCTGGTAACCACTATTGTACCTTCTACATCTGAGATACATAAAACTTTTTTAGTTTCCATGTATGATTGAGATCTCGAAACATCTATTCTCTCTGTGAAAAGCTATACTTTTTATCTAGAAGACAAAATCAAGTCATCTGGAAAAACATACAGAGAAAGATTTTTCAACATAAGGTATAATATTCTACAATTACATACAGTTGTTCAACAATGAAAAGAATCCTCATTAGAATACGATATATTCCATGTTTGTTTAAATACATCAAACTAGATTCTGCTGTGATGTATAAAATAAATTTTTTTTAAAAAAGAACTCTCATAAAGGAATAAAAATCTATTTTTCTTTTTTTCTTAAAGAGATAGGATCTATATTACAAAGGCTAGCCTCAAATTCCTGGGCTCAAGGAATCTTCCTAACCCAGACTCCTGAATAGTGGGACTATAGGCACAGGCTACCATGCACAGGGAAGAAGTAAAATTTCTATTAATAGAAATATTCAAGTTAAGGCAGAGTATACGTTTTAAAAACATGTTGTAATAAACATTCCTACCTTGATAATAATGATGATCCCTAAGATTCCTTCCAAATCTTAAATTACTTTTATGTATTTATGATTCTTTAAAAGCCCTTTTAAGATTAAATAAAATCCAAGAAATAAATTTTTTATTTCTAATTTTCATAGTGCAAATATTTCAAGATATTTTTGGGGGATGCTGGGGATATGGCTCAGTAGTAGAGCACTTGCCTAGCATGTGGAAGGCCCTAACTTCAATCCCTAGGGTGGGGGCGGGTAATTTTCTTGGTATCAGCAAAGTCTCTACAGTTCTAAGCTAGTGATTCTCATTACTGTGTTCTTGGCAAAAATATTTTTTTCAAAACATTATTTGTTTTTTACTCTCTCAATATTACCAGTAACTGTCTAAATTTAACCACTATTTGTTCTAAGGGTAAATATTTAGGTTTCTTCCCTCTGAATAAAGGAAAGGTTCCCTCCACCTTTCTTAGAACATTTCCAGAGGCACTTAATGTTTCCAAGTCCTTCTTTAACCCTTTGACATATATGGAAATCTTTATAAAGGATAAAGGAGCTGCTACACAGCTTTTCAAATAAAAAAGGTTCATCTTAAGAATTGAGGCGCTATCTCTTTAAAATGCAAACATCAAGGAACAGTGTCCCTACCTTTTAATCACCATAAGAGTTTTAGCCTAGGCACCTTTCTGGAAGTTGTCTACCTCTCATTGTCATAGAAGTAAGAGAAGTTTTATTATTCCTCTGAATAAAAGCAATTACTAACACAAACAGTTATCTCAATTACCAGGTAAATTTAGGATAAACTAGGAAAGAATGTATAGTATATGAGGACAAGTTACTGTTAATCTTAAGAACATATGTAAAGGATTATAATCACTCAGTGATATACACAGGGAGAATTTCTGTCTTTGTATTATCTTAGTAGATGCCCATAATGCACACTGTAATCTAACTTAATGCTTATTCAATATAAAAAATGATTTTCTTTTTAATACTTTGTGGAGAGGATTCTCTGGGTCGGTGATATAATTTTCAATTTTCCCCATCGCTGCGTTTCTATCACTCTGTAAGGACAATATGTCTTTCCCCTCACCGCATGAACAATTTCTTATACTTCCAAAGAGAACACCCAAAACATCTTAGAAGATATACTGAGATTTTCAAAGAAATATTATATCAAGATATGACCTATCTTATCAAGATAAAAATAAGGGGGTGAATGAAGCATGTGTCAAATGGGAAACTTCATTTACCATTTCTACAGGAAAACAGAGATGAGTTCCGCTGTACATTCCGAGAGGGCTTCTTTGGTTTATACACCCCATGTGTGATGAACATTTTATGTAATTCTGGATTGATTCCATCAGGAACCATTCGTGGACTTCTTTGGTAAAAATGAAGGACATGTCTATTACCTGAAATAGCTTTATAAATATTTCTTTTGTTGGACTGACTCTGGTTGTAAGTCTGAAAAAAAATGTATATATAAAATGTCAAATCACATTATTTTTATTATAACCACTCAGCCAAAATAAGCAATTATTCTATTAGTTGGGGCTTATTATAAACATTAAACTAAATGCTGATTCACTTAAATGTGTAAAGAATAAAATTTCTATTGCCCCAAATTTTAAAACATAGCACAATAATCATTGATGAGGTGTTAATTTCCAGAATATACAAAGAACTCAAAAAGCTTAACACCATAAAAACAAATAACCCAACCAATAAATGGGGAAAGGAACTAAACAGACACTTCACAGAAGAAGAAATACAATCGATCAACAAATATATGGAAAAATGTTCAATATCTCTAGCAATTAGAGAAACTCAAATTAAAACTACACTGAGATTTCATCTCACTCCAGTCAGAATGGCAATTATTAACAATACAAGTAACATTGGGGCCCAGTGGCATAAGCCTGTAATACCAGCATCTCGGAGGCTGAGGTAGGAAGATGGCAAGTTCAAAGCCAGTCTCAGCAACTTAGTAGGACCCTGTCTCAAAACATAAAAAGGGTAAGGGCCAGGGCCCTGACTGGCCAGGCCTCGCCTAAGGAAGGACTGGCTTGGAGCTGAGAGGATTTTTACATATTCCTGAATCTCAGAACATTTCCTT